TTTTTTGCCAAAAGGTTGGTCTGTTGCTGATTTTGAAATAAAAAATATGTTCTGCAAAAGCAAACGAGACTTTTAGGATAAATTAAGGACCATAAGTTAAATAATATATTTTTTAATTGCCTAAATGTGTAATGTATGCACATTCAACATTTCATTGTAATATTTTCCAAAAGTAATTATTTTTATTTGTTGCAGTTTGTGCCGGTGTTCTGAGTATATGTGCTACCTCGTCAGATTTTCCCAAGGCAGGGCGGATTAATGGGTAACAGAACACCGGAGCTAGCCCGTTGCATCTAAAATCGATTGGTTTGGTCTGCCATTTCCCCACTGTAACCAGGAAGTAGCTCCTGTTGTTTCACACGGGTCGTCATTTTCCAATGTTAGCATTACAAAGTGCGTCAAAATGACCGAAATGCTGAACGGTACGGACTTCGGGGGAATTTCGGTGCATAATTTCTCCGAGAAGATTCTGGAGCAGGTCGTCCACTTCCACGTGATGAAGTTTAACGAAGGCTTTTTCCTTTGGGTCGGTTCGGCTCCTGCTCTATCCAACCTAGCGGTTTCAATGAGCAGCAAATATGTGAGTAAATGGGTTAATTCAGCATCTGTGTTTCCGCTTCTCATTGATGTTTTCCGAGTTCACTTCATGTTTTTTTTATTTATTTATTTATTTTTTATGGTTTTTCAGGATTCGATGCCGTTATCTACATTGGTGATGGGAGATCCGTCAAATACTGCAGCAAACTCTTTGGCACAGAGGCTAGGTAATGTATAGTATTAATTTAATGTTTTATCACAATGTTTCTGTACTCGGGTGTTATAAGTCTGAGAGTTAAAGCTTGTAGATCTTCATCTGCACTGACGATTGTGTATTTTTCAGCTACTTTTGGCTGGATGCACAGATTTTGATAATGCCTTTTACTGTGCTTTGAAAATTGTTGAAATTAAACTTAGCAGCATTTGATGTTTCAAGTTCTTTCGAAGCTGAAAGTGATATTGACATTGATGCTGATGCAACCTGAGGAATAAATACTAGTTTGCCTGTTGTATAACAGCAGTGATAGTACCAGCTTTTGCTTTTCCGTCATATGTTACATATAGATAACAAATATCAAAATTAACACTAATACATCCAAGTAATACAGGTAAATAGTATGAACTAACAAATGCATAAAGCATAACAAAAACATTGCAGTTTCTGGTGAGTGATATAATAAAGACCCACTGTTTGTTCTCTTTATATTGCAAAAATTGCACACAAGCATCAAATTAGGTGCACATGTTGACATCATCGTTACTCATCATTTTGAAGGAGGTTTGCCCTGTTTAAACCAACTAGTTTGGTGTTTTTCTGACTGTGGAAGTGAAATCATAAGAGCTGTCTGAAGCCTTCAGAAAAAAGATTGTAATAGCCTGAGGTTGGTAAAAAAAAAAAAAAATTAAGAGGTTTCAGAAGACTTTTAGATCATTCATTAAGTTGTAGGCAAAATAGTCTTAAAGTTTTGAAAATTCAAAACCACTGCCAGCATGCCCAGGCCTGATTGTTTAATCAATATCACCCTGAAAGCAGACCGCAAGATGCTGAAAGAAATTTCCAAACCCCTTGCTTGTTGAATTAATGAATTGTTAATATTTTTTGTTTCCTCAAACTTCAGTAACTTTAGCAATCTTTTTTGTGCAACTCACAAGCTTTGCTGCTGAAACTACAAATGCATTTTGCAATAAGCAGGCATTCCAATTGTACAAGATTAATTGCAACAGAAGCAATGTTGCAACAAAGAAATACTCAAAATCCCCTGTCTTTATTAGGATCAACCCTTTGTATGTCAATAATTTTATAGAGTATACCTTACTGTATAACCTGATTTCTCAGGTTAAACTCCCACCATATTTTTAAGTCATGTTTTTAATTACCACAGCTCTAAGCATAAGTTGCTTAAAAAACTCCCTCTAACTTCCAAATGCTTTCTTCCCTCACATACACAGTTCATGTATTATTTTTGAACATTAGCCAGTGAGTTTTGTCTAATGAACCAAGTGAACAAATATCTTTCTACTTTTTCTTCACAGCAAAGAGGACCAAAAAGCAAGTTTTTGTGAGTTACAGTCTTCCGATGACAGACTCCAGCCTGAGTTTGTTGGTGGAAAACCGGATCAAAAAGGAGCTGGAGCTTCACCCTGAGAACTTTTAGAAGCACGTCACCCCTTTAAGACATTTACTTTCCTTACATCAACACCTGCTTATTCTTTTCATTGTCCTGCAACCAAACTCCCAAAACAAAACAGACACAGAGGCAGTCACATCCACTGTTCTTTTATTGACATAATAAATTAAGTGGTTTATTATCAAAACATGTAGGCCTACGGCTTTTTGTACAAATGCATCTTATTAAAAAAATAACACTTAGAAAACAGCATTAGAGACTGAGTTTTTTTTGTTTAGTTTTTTTTTTTTGTTTTTCATTGCTTTACCTGTTAAACATACAAACCAGTAAACCCATACAAGACTAATATGGTTGGAATAATTGTTTGGATTAGTAGGCTGGTTCATCTAGTTGATGTGCTTCTAAACATGTGAAGATCAAGATCCATACATTATGAATGAATGGCACATGTACAAATCCTACTCGGTATTCACATAGTATAAATGTTCACAGTTACAACTAGGCCAGTTCTACCTACACTGCTGTACTCTAATCGTCACACGTGTTTAATTAAAAAACAAAACAGTATTTTATTGTGCTTTCTGACTAATGTTAAACATGGAAATGGCAAGATTATAACAGTACTAAAATACATAGAAGAAACAGTGACAATTGGAGCGGAAATATTTGCTAATGAAAGAGGTAATTCAAGCAACAAGTTGGCCCTTGGCATCATTAGAAAATAAATACTGGATTTCTTCAGTTACATTTCATCTTAAATCTGTAAAAAAAAAAAAAAAAAAAAAACACACACACAGCCAATGAGATAAAGCCATTGAAATGCTGAGATACATCATTTAGACATACAGCAGTACACCGCCCTAATATCCGTTCAGCTCTCAGATTTGTCTCGTCATCAAGTCTCAAAAGGCTACACGTAGAAGTCTGCCGTGGTCTCCGGCTGTTTGTAACGTCCGACAGCCGTCATATGTCCCCCTGACAGTGTTAGTCTTTATTTAAAGATCGGCGTCTACGCCGACCGCATCTCTGAGGATAAAGTGCCACAAATGGACTTCCATTAGTGGACACGAGAAGGGGAGAAAACGTACATGTAAAACTATTAAAACCATTTGTGCCCTTTCATGCAAAAAAAAATAATAATAATTATAGTGGATTAAGCCTATATTTCCAACATATTGGCTAAAAATTCACAAACACTTGATTGTGTCTTTGACATTTAGTGCAAAATAATGTGAGAAACTCTTTGCCCCCTTACAGATTTCTTCTGTTTTTGCTTTTGTTTGTCACACTTGTTATACTAAAACCATAAAACAAGTTTTACGTCAAAGATAACCTGAGTAAAACACACTTTTCAAATTATTTCATATATTTAGGGCGCACCAGTCCCTTTCTTCTTTTTAAATAATGACTTCGCTATGATCAAATACATTTTCTGAAAGTTGAGTTCAATTTCATCAAGCCTGATTAGCTTCAGACCAGTAGAATCAAGAAATTCCTTTAGGGGAAGTTTAAAAGCATGAAAAATGTTAAATTATCTAAAAAAAAAAAAAAAAAAAACACACACACATTGAATTGATCTACAGAAATTTATGATCAGATTGACACCTATGGGTTTGGAATGGGTGATGAAACCATTTCTAAGGTTTTATGACACCAAGTAACCATATTGTCCACAAATGGAGAGAACAATGAACATCGGTGAACCAGAATCACACAGAGCAGCTCAACCAGGTCACAAAAGAACCCAGAACATCTGGAAGCACTGCAGACCTTTGTGTTCATCATGCAACATTTAAAAGGAGGCTGAGTAAAAGAGACACCAATGGAAGAGTTCCCACTGGTGAGCAAAAATACCTCAAAATCCCATCCCATACTCCCAAAATAAAACATCTTTACTATCCCACCAGACTGCATTGATGGGACCATGAATACTGACATCTGACATTTAATGTCAGCAACAGATGTTCAGCCAACACAAATTAAGGCGTTCTACTGGCCTGTTCAAAATCTAGATTGGGATCCAGCTGAGATTCAGTGGTATGACTTTAAATAGGCCTCTCAAGATCGAAAACTATCCAGTTTGGATGAACCAAAGCTATTCTGCAGAGAAATGCGGACCAAAATTCCTCCACACCAACATATGTTACATCCATTCTGTACACCCTTGTCCCTACTCAGGTTGGGAGGGGTGCCGGTGCCTATCTCCAGCGAACGTTTCGGGTGAGAGGCGGGGTACACCCTGGACAGGTCGCCAGTCTGTCGCAGGACAACACAGAGTTGGGTTTTTCCAAGTTGGGTTGATTTACTTTTTTTCACTTGCTAAATGAAATTATTACATGAAAACCACCTTTTTTTTGTATTTGCTTAGGTTATCTTTAAACATCTAAGTTCACCAAAAAACCAAAACCAGAAGTTGAACCATATAGTTTTCCACACCAAGAACTATTCGGGCCCACTCAAATGATCCACAATTGGCCTGTTTCAACAAGTCAAATCTACAAACACAGAAGTCACAAAGTTAATCTGCCATTGGTTTGCTTCCCTGCATTCATTTACTTTAAGCAGTGCAGAAAAATCACCATCGTCACATTCTGACTTCAGATAAACCAGGTCCACACAATATTTTTTGGCAACTCCTGAATGAATCATTGTCACTAAACGTTACACAGGCTTGCTGACATTGTCATCATCTCAAACCTCACTACAGCTTAGCAGTTCATCTGGTTTGTCCGAACACTTTTGTTCCTTTTCTCCTAAAACATTTGATCACATCTTGGATCTGGTTATCGCTGCATCAGTTATTTGCACAGTAGAAGACTATTGCTGTGATGTTCATACCCCGTTGGCTATGGCACAGTTGCCAATCACCTCACCACCGGTTGCGAGAGCATAGGAAGCAGGTACCGCTGCCAGAGCGGTGGCTACTGCTGCCGTAGCGCCCCCTGTGGCTGTGAGATGTAAGGGCGTGTCGTGAACACGCGAGTAGTCCCTTTCGTACTTGACAAGGAGGAGATGCTGCTCCCCAGGATGAAGCAGGGTCTGACGGGTGAAGGTCTCTCCGTCGGCGAGGCTCTCTGGCAGCGGCTGACCCCGCGGCTCTGGCAGCAGCAGCAGGCAGATGATACACAGCAGCGTGCAGCAGGCGAAGATCACGTGATGCAGGAAGTAGCCCTTTTGGTTGTGCAGCTCCATGATTGGGGCGGTTAGCATCCCGAAGCCTGCACTAGCCAGGACGAGGCCCAGACCTCCACCCCTGTGCAAAGCGAAAATCAAACTCACTTGGCCTACTCATGTTCTGATACAACAGCAGACAAAATTTATATTCAAACAAACATAGCTGACATATTTATAATAATAATAATAAAAAAATCTGTTATGATGGTCACAATGTGCATATTAAAGTAGCAGCATCCAACACTCTTAGTAAGATGAGGTGGACTTGACATTTGCATTTACTTTACAAATAGTGCCCATAAAGGAGTATGCAGAAGTTCATCTCCAAACCCTCTTTTATAATAAATGTGTAAAAGCAATTAGACTATGTTCCACAGTCTTATTTAAAAGGGTTAAATAAATAGCATGACACAAATGAACTGGTATTTTTATTAAATACTGTGAGCATTTCATTCCTACAAACTACTTTAAGGTCTTAATGGGCTCCTGTGATGACCATAAAATATGGCTCTGAGATGAGAACTGTTTTTTGAAATCATAGAAATCAGATCTCAACCTGACGAGCAAGAACTGAACATTTGTAATCTATTTTGTTTAGATTACACTTGTTGTTTAGATTACAAATTACTGGGGAGGCAAAAAAAAACTCCAATTCATTTGAAAACTCTTCTGAGATTCTCTTGTTTTGTAAAGCATGTCAAATGTTTACATTTTTTCATCTTTGCTAATTTTACCTACAAAGTAAAGCTGCATGCTGAGGTCGATATCTATGCAAAGTGCAAAGTCATAAAATATCTTGAGGTCACCAAATATTACTTGCTTCTTGTCACCACAAGAGAGAGCTGTTGCTCTTCATAAAATGTACTGTGATAAGGACAATGTAATACAATTTTACTGTTATACCACTTGCAATTAATTCATGTTGTTGGTTTAAACTATAACAGCAAAAAACATCTCTGTTAGGACTCACCTGATGACAGTGGGAGTGATTTCAGCACAAAAGAAAATACTGAGAGTGCTGACGGCATGAGAAGAGAACATGCCGATGATGGAGAAGGCCACTGAGAATTTTCTGTTCAGTGTGTCTCGTAGAACTGTCCAAAAAAAAAAAAAAAAGGTAAGATGATGTCAGTAAAGTAAAAAAGACCTGATGAGGAAAGCATTCTAGGTCAAAATTGAACTGAAGCAGCAGCTGTACCTGTGTCATGGCGGAGGCTGTACTTTCCAATTACTGGAGTCCATTAGTGGGCATTGAAAAATGGAAAAGAAAGGAGAGCAATTCATTAGTAAGCACAAATGGTAGAACAGTGCTGACTAAAAACAAGAAAAAAAAAAAAAAAACTAAAACAAAGCCCTTAGGAGAACTCTGAACAGGACCAATAAATAATGACTACTGCACATGTAGGTCAGAAATGCAGAATGATGGTTAAACTGCAGTCTGTGCTGTTTCAATGACTCAGGAACTGCCTGCAAGGTGTGCTGAATAACCAACTGTCTGTCCAACATAAGATTTAATACTTAGATTTATTATTAAAAATATATAAGCATAATTTTATCCATGTGTGTTTAAGTGATCTAGAAATACAATATCGACTAAAATTGCCTGTTCAAACAACAACAAAAAAAGTAATTTATGAAGGATCAGTTTAGAGGTGTAAATGTCAGCATGTCTGGCTAACTAGCTTAATTTAAAATTTGATTTTGCTTGCACTACAAAATAATTAAATAAAATGGGCAACATATAAAAAAAGTTGTTACTTGGGGGGGAGGAGGGGGGTTACAGCTGGAGGACTTTTTACTTGCTGAACTGATCATAAACATATTCTTCGATAGGAATACACAATGGAGCCATTTGAATCCCACAATTATTTCCCAGAAACTACAAGGTATTTTCCAAAACTTTCATTTTACTTTCGAAACTAACCTTCATTACAAATCACTTTGTAACTATCATTATAAGATACATGTAAGTTCACAGAAAGCAACTTGTAACTCATTCTCATTCTTGGAAACTCGTCTGCGATATCCAGCAAAGTAACTCATATGTTGTGGCAGTGTAACTTGCACATTCCAGGATGTAACTTGCATATGAAGTGACCTGCAACTCCCTGAAACGTAACTTGTAAGTACCAGCAGAATGCTGTACTTTGACTTGTAGGTTCTGTGAAGTAGCCTGTACTTCCATCAAGGTACCTTAGTCAATTCAAAAAGTAACTTGTAAGTTCTGCCAAATGACTGGCTGAGATTTTTTGTGACACCAAATGAGTTCTGGATAAAACTTTTAAAAGCAATAATAGTGCAACTTGAATTTGGTCGCAGATTTAAGAGATTTATGGTACTTCAAGTCCTCAGTCCACACCAAGATTAATTTTCTATTGAGCATCAATCGGACTATGACATTTAAATTGGTAAAAATAGAGGACATGCTACAAAGCATATCTTCATTCCCAGACAAAAAGTGCAATTGTTGACTGATGAAATCTGATTTGATCACATTACAGCTGGTTCTGCCTTTTATCTACAAAACAAGTCAATGCCAACAGCACAGTTTCCAAAGCAACTTCAAAGTGCCATGTCTAGGGGTAAGTGGGTACTCACAGTTGAGCAGACCCAGCTGCAGTAGGGATGCCAGAGCTGTTATGATCATGAAGGTGAGCAGTCCTCCACGCCGACCCATCAGTCCCACTGCAGGGCAAAGAGCCAGGCATGTGGCCACGGCGATGCCAGCCATGGTGTAGTAGTCTGTGTGGCACAAAGCCGTGGGCTGGGCCTCCGGGTCCATCATACTGCGGGCGAAGCAGTGGTGGATCCCATAACCTGTCAGGCTGCACAAATACAAAGTGAGAACGCAGCTGTAGACAGGAGACGTGTGCCTGCCACGGGGCCTGAGAGGATTTAGACCCACATTCTTTGAGCCTGTCTGTGGATGAAGTAATTCATGCTGTCAACGTAACGGATGCTGGCTATGATGAGCAAAAGAAGTGTTCAAAGGCAACCACAACACACTTACGAGTTCACACATAGCACCACAATGTTTTTCCACAGGTTCCTGGTGCTCATCATCTTGACAATGCAGCTCCTCTGGGGTTTCTTGTGTAGCTCCTGTTCCAGCTCTGGTAGGAAACATGAAATGTACACCTTGAGATCTTTATTTCCTTTCATGCTGTAATAAGGGATCTTATGCTAAAGGTCCTTTTGAGCACAGAGAAGCTAACATGCCACGGTGTCTTGATCTATCTTCTTGGTCACTGAGAAAAAATTACACTCATACAAGAGATGAATGTGTGTCTGTTCAAAGAAAAAGATTGTTTTTATCATATTACTTGGATAAAATCAAGACACTTTGTCAGAAATTGTGAAATTAATTGTCACCGGCAGTGTAAACTTACAAATCCTGACTATCTGGAAACAAATGTACATCTGCTAGTGAGAGCAGCATCACAAGCTGAAGGCGATGGTGTAAAATAACTTGTATAAAGATTTGAGTGAAGCAACCGAAAGTACATTTGGCAGTAAAATGGATTTGAGAGCTTTCATCTGCTAAATTTGTCTTCACCTGCAAGAACTCCACTGGCCTCTGTTGTCATGTCAACCTGGTTTTTCCTGGCGATGCGCAGCATCATGGCTTTGGACCGTTTGTAGTGCTGGGTGGCCAGCAACCAGCGTAGCGATTCGGGGAAAATCCTGCAGATTTAGAAGATGTGGGGTAAACTTAGACTCTTTGAAATGTGTTGGTGCAGCTCCTGCCTGAACACCAAAAATGAATGTATCCCTTTATGTTCATTCTTTTGGAATTTATTTAATCCCAGGACTATGAAAGAAAGTAGAAGCAGCTGTGCAATTAAAAAAAAAAAAACCTTTTCTGTGGAGTGGGCTGAATAGAATCTCACAGAACAACTTCTTAAATCAGAAGAAAGAAAACAAGCCACAACCACAACAACCCTAAAAGTTTGAGTTGGAAATGTTGCGTGTCCTGGAGTTTAACTGATGTTGCTACTTTTATGTATGACTTATTCAGCCATAGATGACATTTCTAAAGCTGTGGGATGAAAAGCTCACTAGAAATTGCAACAGACATAAGAAATCCAACAGAAAATGTTTTTTAATGAGAAAAAAAAAGCAGGGATAAGAATTTTGAGAAAACTTTAGAAGAAAGTTAGATGCTACCTAACTTCCTTCTTTTCAGGAATTAGGAAATGATTTGACCCAAAATAACAGAAGAAAGTAAAACCTGCTAAATAAAATAACATTTCTGGTTTTGTTCCATGGGGAACAATTTTTACATTAAAATGCAATTAATGAATGGCTATTGGCGCAACAGTGTTCCTTTGCCAGAATACACCTGAGCTCTATGGAAGTTATATTTTTGATTTTTGCAAATTTTGTAAACGCTTAATACCAAAACTCATTACTCTATTTCTAATTAAGCCATGTGTTTTGTTGCTGTTTTTGGACCAGTGCTAAACAGGAATGAAAGAGTGATTTATATGTGCTCCAAACGGTTATAAATGTCCTCCAGTGCTTTGGCATTTGCACCCTCAGAAAGACAGAAGAGGAGAACAGACTGTGCTGTAAGAGCAAGACAGAAAGAATGAAGAAGAAAACAGCAGGAGAAAGAGAGCTTTGTTTGGGTGTTGACTGCTCCGTACTGTGTAGTGTGTGTACTGTACAAGCCGTTGCCTGGCTCAGTGTGAGAAACCCTGGATGGATGTCTTCAGAGGGTGGGACTCACCAGACGTATGGCAGCATCAGAACAAAAGGGCTGATGATCACGATCTGCAGCACCTGCCAGTCATCCCCATTCGGCCAATGGCGGCACAGAGTGGCAACCCCTGGCATCAGTAGCTGCCCGCCCACCTTCAGAAAACTGGCCACCATGGTCATGGAAAAGCGCCAGCCTGGCAAGCAAAGCTCGATTCCTAAATAAAGAGGCAGAGCAGAAAGAAAGGAAGATTTTATCTGAATATTTAGACTCATTATGTTGTGGCAGCCACAGAGGAGAGTTAATCAGGTATGAATGGGATGCGATTGAGGATATGTCACTAAAAGCAGAGGATTCAATGGTTTAAGATTAGTCTTTGTCTAGCAGTGAGCTGGTCTTAAGTGTATCCTCGAAATTATTTGACAATTTAATGCCAAAGTGAAAGCTTTTTAGGTATCTTATCTCTTCAGTATTCCCATTTCCCCAGAAGAGGCTCAAGTTCCCATTCTTACTGCCGGCAGCGTCTTACACTCCAGATGGCTGGGTCCATATGGTGACGTCGTTTCTGAAGGTGACCATTGTGGGAGTGTGAGGATAAAGGAAGGAGGGACTCTGAGTAGCATGTACCGTCTTTGATTGTTATTGAAAATATGATTGAAAAATGGGAGGGAAGCAAAGGAGGGCGGAATGTAAATAGGTATTAGAATTAGTAAGAGCATTATGCAAATTCGTTTCCCTGTTATCTCACCTTGAGGTAGTAGTCGTGCAAATGTCTCCAACCTTTTTCAGATTGTTACTAAAATGAGAAGGGAGTGCACCAAAGAACAAGCCGCTTGATGATGTCAGAAAAAGTGTCAGAAATTTAAGTTTTGATGCATTTGATGAACATGTTCGAAACATCAGATTTTTTTTTTTTTCCAACATTGTTGATTACGGGTAAAACTCCGATCAATAGCCAGCTTTGATTGCAGGTTGATTGATTGGTGCATTTTTTTTATCCAATACTGAAAAACTAAAGGCTTAACATGGGCTAACAACTTTTAAAAAAAAAAATCTTCTATATCTCTATCACATAAAGCTTAAAGGTCAAACCTCCATTTGGCTCAGAAGATGGGACCTGAATCTTAAAATAATGTCAAATCCAGCTTAATTATGCCCAGGGGCAGACCGACGCCTACAGAATCTATTCAGACAGAAGAGCCAAGAAACAGATGTGAGGTGTGATGAGAAACCTCTATTTGATAAACTGTAAGGCATGTAGAAACTATGATTGTTAGCAAAGATGTAAAATTACGTACATCTCGTTAGCTAAGGTCTGTGAAGTCACATTTGCAGTTCTAAGAAAAACTATGCATTTCAAATATCCTAATCTGTCACGTTTCAAAAAACATGTCAGACAAATATAAACTCAGGAAAGAGAAACTGCTTTGCAATCCTTTCAATACTAATGGTTTCAATAACTTTGCGTCTCTTCTCTTCTTGAATTTAGATCAGTTCATGATGTGAAAACAAGTAATTTCTTGAGTCTGCAGGTCTGACAGTTGTCACACCTGGGTGTTGCTGGTAAAACGGAACCGAAGAAATCTGGATAATCACAGTTAATTCATGATTTATCTAGGGAGTCATTATCTTCTCATATGGGCAGGATGGTTTAGATGTATATTTTTCTCTTATTCAGTAAAATCATCCTTTGAAAACTGCATTTTTTTATTCACTCAGGTTGTTTGATATTACAATGTTTGATGATCTCATATAAAAAAACAAAAGAACAAGATGACATTATTCTCCTTTACACATATCAAGTTTGTAAAACTACATCAGATTAACAATTAGAAAGTTTACCTAAACGTATGCATCAAATAACTCTAACCACATTAACATCTGAATAATAATACAGTGAGGTTGACTTGAAGTGTTTGCAATCTTACAAAGACATCAGCAGACCTATTCAGGCATTGTTGAAAGCCAACGTGGCTCCATGTCTATTTGCATATAAACCAGGTAACAAATGTGATGAATGAAAACAGAATTTGAATGGCATCTGTAAATGGCCATATGGAGATCTGTTCATTTGTATCTGAATAAGCCAGGACGCACAATAAAGCCAAGTTTAAACAGAGCCGTACTGGCAAAACAATGAGCACCATCACTTCTAATGGGTGGAAAAGCAGCAAAACAAAGGATGCTGAGTTCTCTGAGGAGGTGTCGAATCCCACCTATTCACAGACACACACACAAACACGCACAGGTCAGAGTCTTTATTTTTGTTGAAGCTGACTGTGAGAACCGTTCCTCTTATGCTGATTATCTCACCACTCCCCCAGGAGCCGATCCTCCCTCACTCCCCCCTTCCTCCCTCTCCTCTGCCGCTCTGAAGTGGCTCTCACTCGCTTAAAAAAAAATACAAAAATCTACCATCCCCCATCGCCATCCTCCTCCTTTCACCAAGCAGCTTCTCCTCTGACTTCACATGTGAAACTTGCAGACGCTTTGCAGAACAAAAAACCCAAAGTGAAAAAACGCGAGACAAAGAGAAGACGACAAAAACCACAGACCTAATGACCAGACTTGTCTTTCAAGGCAAACAGCTGAGAGCTTTACCACAGAGCCACGTTGTGTTGTTTTGCTGCTCCCTCTCTAACCTCGCCCGAGGCCTGGTAACAAAGTGAAGGGACCATTGGCTTTCTGGCAGCATGAGTTCTCATGAAAACCACTGTGTGGTTTATTTTGTCTTAATGCAGAACAGCTCAGTCACAGAGAAATGTGCACCTAGATGTGCTGTTGGGATGCTCAGTTTAATCGGGCAGTAGGTCAAACATGAAAAACAATAATCTCAAAATTAATTTTTTACTCTGTAGCTTTGGGAGGAACTCTAGGCGCAGAGTTACATAAAGTTCCATGTTCGGCACGTCCAAAATAGAACTACAGACAGGGAATGCCGTGTAATGGGGAGGGACGTATCCACCATTTCACCTGTCTGTGATACAGTAGATGATCTGGGCCTTGTCCAAGATCACTCTGAGGTTTTAAGCAAAGGACCCAAAATAATTTCTTCAAGAGTCACTGCCGAACAAAACCTCTGGTTTGAGAAATTTAATGTGAGAGAATTTACTTCTATTCACGCTTTATAGAGAGAATAGTGGCGCTTAATATAAATAACCTTTTATATAAGATAAAACAGTATAAGGAGAAACCCTCTTCTGAAGCCTCGACAGGGACTTTAGGGAGAGGAATGGATGGGAAACGTTTGACAATTCGACAAGGGCACAGCATGACAGCAGCTTTAAACCCAGCTTAGTCAGCAGAAGTCACACGCCTCAGTTCAATGAAACACAACCTTAGTACATGCTCTACTTTCCTTGCCTTTGTCATAAGCTGCAACTCTCAAGGACAAGGCAAGGCAAGGACAGAGAGAGCAGAGGGACAATTCTTGATTTCAGGACTTAAACCTTCATTGCAGACGCATGCTACGATTCAGTGTCGAAATTTGTCACCCTCAGAAGCGCTTCCTATAATTTCTTTGAGTTAGAACTGTACTTTTGATTTACAGGATGTTGACCCATTTTATGTGTAAAAGGGTCTCTGGAGATGCCTCGTGGATTAATTATTCCCTCTGTTGTGTGCGAACCAGAACTGCTTTGAATATTTAAAATAATTATTCTTTATGGACAATTTTTAAGAAAAAGGCACAAGTCAGATCTTTATTTATTTGTAGCCTGAGTTTAGTTTTTTTGTTTTGTTAGTTTTTAGTTTTTCCATCACATGCTTTGTTGCCTTTCACCCTAATGTTAGAAAATGCAGAATCAGTGAGGCAATAAAGCTTGGTCTTTCTGCAGAAAATGCCCAAATTTTATTGAACATATTTTTCTATTGTAAACCAATATTTTTCACCCACAAGCAGGTTCCTGAAAACAACGATGCATCTTTCAGATTCAACCTCAAGTTTTTGGGATCATATTTTTACATTTTCTAAACATGTGACTTTTGGAAGCAACTCCATCTGCCTTGAATCTTAGAACTAAGAATATTAGAACGTTGCTGCACATGCTAAAAGAGAGAAAGAACAAGGAGAAGGTTGCAGCAAAAAATCCCGATGGAATATTTGCAATGTCGCAACATTGCAAATATTCCATCTGTGCAGGAATGGTTCAATAAGCAGATGTACCACAAGCACATATTATTTAATAGAGTAAACTGAGGCTCCGTCTGACTGCTTCAGTGGAGTTCATTATGCAGTGTGTGCTGCAGAGAGATAACCAAACATTGAGATTTAATATGAGTGAGACGTGGGGTGGGAGGTAATAAATTGGTACAGGATGAGGAAGAGGAAGGGGGTTAATGGAGAGCAGAGGAGATTTAGAAACAGAAGTTCTGCGCCGAATTTACAGCGGCAGCAGTGGGTGAAAAGAGCGCGTGAGGCGAGCAGCTATTTCTGCTACATAAATACTCCTCCTTCATCTATAATACAGTAAATCCATCCTACATGTTTATTTCTATATTTTTTCTGTGTGACCTCTTTCCGTATTTGTTGCTCAGCAGTATAACAGGCTTTATGTGCCCCTGTTGTGCTTCAGGATCTGCTACAGTGCAACTTCATGACAGAGAGGCGGTTTTCTTTTAAATCAGCAGCTCAGTGAGATTTAAATTAAATACCATTTTGGGGGATTAAATACAGAGTTTAAGCTTTAATGTGGGGAATTTTTTCATCTTAAGAGGGTTTATAGATTTGGTACTTTTTTTTTAAATTATGCAGAGTCGTTCCGCGGACCGTCATCATGATAACAACATGAATCTACAAACGGTTTGTTTGCTCAGGCAGGACAAACGTCATTTGTTGAAGATAAAAATCAAAGCAAACAAAACTAATTGATTATTAGTGATAATATATTAAGTCATTAAATTAAGTGAATTTAATGGCCTTGAGGTAAAAAAAATAAATCTTAAAGCATAATATTCTCAAATTTGTCCATTGCAAAACTAGATTTGATGTGCAGGTGGGATCATTATGGTACTGGCAGTGTCCACATCTGACTCAAAACGTCACAGAAAGAAAATATATCACGGCTGCAGAAAGACCACAAAATATGGAACTTGCAAATTTTAGGATTGTCTAAAATTTTCAGCTGCTTATACGAACAAAATATATATATAAATATTCTAAAGGAAGGTTTTACACTAAGATGAGACAAAGATTGAGCTGTTTGGACAAATGTTTGAAGGTGTCAAAGTGACTTTTTTGCATGGTCGTGGCAGCATTATGATGCGAGACTGTGGGCAGGAAATGAAGAAATGTTTCACTACATTTGAAACAAATTCTTGACGGTTGAAACTCTGACAAACCTGGATGTTCCAGGAGGACAATCATCCCAAACTCACCTGGCAGCTTAGTTTTAGAGCATATTTTAAAGCTCCTGAAGTGACTAACTAAAAGTACGTTTCCTGTGCTGAAAATCTGTGTTCACACCAAGATTGCAATAGATTCAAACTTGTGCAACAAACTTAAGACAAAAAAAAAATGTACACAAGATGTTTGTGTGCCATTGTTCCATAATTTATAGAGATCTGAACTATTAAAATAACAATATTGAATTTATTTTTATAGCTATGATTATTGTAGACATGTAGATTTTTAAGTAGTTCTAACATGTTTGCAGAAAATGTACTCAGAAATAGCCACATATTAAGTAATATTTTCTTTCTGGTTCTGATTTGTTCACTGTGTTAAAATGACAGTAAAATTGGGGTTTGACGGTTGGAGAAATATCTTATTTTTATATTGTGAATAATGTGTAAACAGAGCTTGTTTTTGTTCCTCCTTCTGTATGCATGTACACCTCACACAGCCTACCAACAGCATCTCACACAAACACCTTTTTGTTGCAAGTTAAAGTGCATTCACGTCTCGCATTCAAGCCGCAAACGCAAAGCAAACTCAGATGCTTATCTAAATAGCTGAGAACATAGGTGACAGAAATTCAGTTTCTGCCCCACATTTTCATGGTTAATCATCACTGGAAATGTTTCTATTTTATAATCTGTCTTATTTATCTCACTGATCCTTTCTAAGTCCCACAAGCCTTTATCTGTGGACTCCCTCTAAATACCACACACCGCTGTTATCCGAACTTCATTCGCTGATGTTTACATCACAGATTAAATCCCAGTCCTCACAGGTTTCTCTGCAGACGGCTCATTTTGTTTGCTAGGTAGAAGGGGGTCATTTGAAATTTATCAGGGAACCCCGCTGAGGGAGGACAAAACGACACCCCACTGCCCGAGCTCGAGCCTGCCTGAGCTTCCCGCATCATGTGTGACTAATCTCACAGTGGCCTGAAAAGAGAGAAGAGGCCCACAGAGGGTGAGACGGGGGAGGCAGAGGACAATGTCTGGGGAAAAAAAAAAAAACGTCATCCACCAGTTTGGTGTCAGCTTGACGCCCTGAGGAGTGCCTTTTACAAAACATTTAAAAGAAAAAGGAAACACTTTAGATAAAAAAAGAGGAAATGACATTTGTCTTATCTTTGTTTTTTTCCTGGCATATGTTGGAAACCTCATGAATTCAGTAAGCGATGGAAAAGGACATGCATGGCCATGAAAGTGTAAAGATCCAGAACAAAAATGAAGGGACTGAAACTCCTGTTTTCAAAAAATTTCAGCAGCTCTCATCACAGATGCTAAGTGTGGGAATTACTGACTTTCAATCAATCAAGTTTATTTGTATAACACATTTAAGCAGCAAGACGGTTCAAAGTGCTTTACGCAATAAAAGCAGAAAATTGCAAAGTTATAAAGAAAACGCTATGCAGTCAACAACTGAACAGATGTTATATTTTGATGAGTGCAATCACCAAAGTCGAATATTGAATATGTTGGTCAATGTTTCATTTGTTGTGGTTCAAAAGATTTTCTGTCCAACTACCCAAAATCTTTAAATTAAATGTCCCTTGGGGCTGGACAAGATGGCTGAAAAATGTATCACAATCTAACATTTCAAATCAGCCGATAATCCATAATTATTGGACAGTTTTTCGTTTTAAATATCCACAATATTGTCACACTGGTGACGTAACATTTCCTGTTTTATCCACAGTTTTCACTCCACGCTATTGTTTATTTTTAAGCAGTTATGAGGGATGGCGGTGAAACCTTAAACTGTTGCTGCACTAATTACCCAGCAAGTTGTTGCTAGGTAACCACAGAGTAAGTGAAGTAGTTGATGCCACTCACCTAGTTGCGCAGCTAAAGTCTTTCTTCTGCCTACATCTCCCAGAATGCTGTACGGTATCAGAGATATTGATCATGCGATATGAATTGTTATTGATTTATTTTCCAGCCCTATTGCACCTTTTACTGATTTTCTTTTCCTCCTTCATCTACAGTGCCGGAAAAAGAGAAAAGCGAAGGCTGCAAAAACCTAACAGTTGTTTCTTGGGTGTGCTGTGTTCACACAGAGGATCATTCATCACTGAAGTTCCACTGTTAAACTAGATTGGATGCAAACTATTGATGTGTAACGAAGAGTTTTTAGTCTCTTTCCTAAAGCTTTTCTCCCCCTTTGTCTCCTTCACGGTTTCATAGCTGACCAAAGCATAAACTGGGACAGACAAACCGCAGCAGGACAACAGGCAGACAACAATCAGAAGGCGAAAGCTTGTACTTACTGAGCACGTAGAGGGAGAGAGCGAGGCCCGCCAAGCAGAAACCCTCAAAGAAGCGCAAGGTGCTGAACATGGTGACATTTACAGAGAAGGCGACAGACAGGCCGAACACCAGCATGAAAAGCGCCGAGAGAATCAACACCGGGTGTCGGCCAAACCTTGGAAACAGAGACAGAGGAGCAGCAAAGAGTTTAAAACGTGAGGGAGAGTGCGGAGAAATCAGGTGAAAGAGATCGCTGTGTGCGCTGGTTCAAAAAGGGGCATGAGGTTATTAGGGCAGCAGGTCAGAGCTGCTGCATTGTTTTCATTGTTGCTGATGTCCTCCCACGGTCCAGATTAGGTTCTCCCTGAGGCTGCAGACCTGAACCAGCACAGCAAGGTCAGTGTGAAACTCGGAGATCTGCTGGTAACTTAGAGCAAAAAATGCTGGTTTAGCTTTTCTTCGGAGTTTGTCCTCACTTTAAATTGTTCCGAGTAAGTTATGTGAGGATTACGTGAAGCTTCTGGAAGAGGGCCTAAGAACAGTGAACTCACACTTTGCTTCAAGGTTAGTTTCTATGGGTTCAATGTGAAATTAAAACTAACTCTGTGATCTTTTCAGTAAAATACCTTAAACTTATCCAAAGCATTGAGCTAAAGCTAAAAAAATAGCTGTGTTTTGTTTCTGTGATCATGAGCTCATGATGACAGGCCTGCTTCCATCTGTACCAGTATCCATGTGCATGTGGTCATACCCAGATGAAAACTGGCAAAAATCAGACATAAGGATGTGAAGGTGGTATTACAGAGCTCTGTTTCTGCTGACTAGAGGAAAACACATCTGTGATATCTTCCAGCTGTGTGAGCATTTTTTAAACACATCTTTAAGTATACTCCAGTGTGCACAGCCAACGTTAAATCCAGGCACTTTAAAGCAGGCATCTTGCAGGAGCCGACATGCTCAGCATTCTAAAGTTCGAAAATTCGTCTTCATTAGTCTTCTGTTGTTGACTTTGACGTGTGTTTGGACCGACTGTGTTTCCCTCTTTATCCTCCCCGCTTTCTAGCAGACACCTGAAGATTTTGAGCAAAATTAGCTGGCATTTTGAAATGTTCCAGGTGTAATCACCTGGTTCCATCAAATCTGACTTTGAATAAAGTGACAAAAATATATGTCTCATAATATTCTGCCATTTAACAAACAAAGATAATTTTGGTAATCCTAACACAAAATGTTCAGTTTCAGTTCATTTCAGATTGTGAAAAATTATTATTTTTTTAACAAAATTGGATGGTCTCCTGCTGTTCTGATTGTTGCTTTCATCTGAACTTTTCCAACCTTCTCTACATGTCTTCTTTTTACAGAGTTGTTCAAATTAATTAATGTGGAGATGCAGTTCGAAACCAAGTGTAAATTGAATCACTGCCAACCTGTGAGCAGGAAAACACGTGTAAATCAGGTGTTGCAGCTTGTTTTAGAAAGCCAACTCCCTGAGTTTTATTATGCATTGAAACCTATTTTTGTACAGAAGCATCAGTGCTGTAAAAACAAGGTTGTTTCAGGACTAGACACAACTTGAGAAGTTTGGAGAAAATGAATCTGGTTACCTGAAGAAAAAAGATTTTTTTAAGCGTACCTTTGTGTTTATGACTAAAAATAAAATAATTTTAAAAAGGGAAAGGGATCCAGAAAAACAAGACATTGATCTTATTGTCAAAGTCTTCTTAATTAAACTGAGAAGGTGGAGCATACCAGTCAGCCATCACACCCATCACCAGGTAGCCAAATATTGAGCCCACCAGCAAGGAAAACTTGGCTATGTGAACCTTCCAGGCCGAGTCGCACACCAGGTGCCACTGAAACACAGACAGACGACAGAGAGGAGAAGCTTTAGCCAGTTTGAAGTTCTCCAGGAAAAGGGAAGTAAACATCAATGACATGCAACACTTAGAGTGTGAACCAAAACAGTCCTCCCTTATCGAATTTCCCTGTGGTTCTGAAATATATAAATCATGAGAAAAGTCTATAAAATCATGAGAAAACACAAACACGTGTGTGTGAATGAAAAAAAACAAACAAACAAAAACCTAACACATGGGAAAGTGTGAGCGTGTCCTCACTGACAGAAATCAATAGTTTTCCTCTCATGGGTCAGTGAACACACCACTGCAGCTCTCCGTATCTGAAACACAGCCAAGGACTCAAATGAGGAGGCACAGCTCGTTCTTTATCTGCGTACAACTCTGAAATCAGCAACCCCGCAGTCAGATTGGGGTGTGTGTGGAAAGTGTTTAACAATAATTCAGAAAACTACTTGCTGAGCCGCCACCCTGCGCAAGGGGGGGCGGAAATGGGACAATTAGTGAGCAGTGGTTACCTGCAGTTCCTCCAGAGTTACCATGGCCTCCTGTCTGTTCCTCTGAATAATGTACTCCTTGTCTGGCCTGCCAGTTTAGGTGGACCACCATATTTTAGTAGCTTTTCATTTGAGTTTTCTTTTTGTTTTCATATGATTCCTTGGTCAGAGTTCTCTGAGATGTTGAAAGCTCGGGATATTGTTTTCTTTACAAATTCAGCCCTGGCTTGTCTGGTGTGTCGCTTAACCAATGTTCACTAGAGCTTGGAGGATTTTACAGAACAGCACCCCTGAAAAAGGTGGATTTACAATAGGGGGAACTGGATTTTATTTAGGGGTATTAGAGTGAAGGGTGTTAAACATGCCTCACTTTTTCAATTTTATCTATAAAAAAACTTTAAAAGCATTTATTGTTTCCATTCCACTTCATAACTGTGTGTTGCTTTGTGCTGATTTCTCATAGAAAAAAGTAAAACATGGTGAACTTTGTGGAACAAGATGGAAAGAAAACAAAGTTCTGTACATTTCCAGAACTAATGCTTGATAAGATTTTTACCAATCTGCAATATTTATTTCATTAATCGTGCTGCTTAAGTGCTAAAGTCCCTGACTAACACTCTTAACCTTCAGCTGCTGAGTCTCATATTGAGGTCAGTGGGTAAGCTGCCAGTCAGCTGTTTGTTCCACACTCAGCACTGATGCTCGCTGATGGTGAGAGTGATGATGGGGAACAGAGGGGATCTGCTGTACCGTAGATCTATCTGTTACCTTGGTAACCACATTCTGAAGGAGTCCTGTTTGCAGCTCCAGCCTCCGCTCCTCGCAGGCGCACAGCAGCCCGGCGCTGTCCCCGGGTTCCTCCGCGGTGCCGTTGGCCCGGAGCTGCAGCGCGGGCGCGCCGCTGGCAAGCAGAGGTGGCCCGGTCCAGTTGCTGTGGTTACCCGCGGGAGACACGCACGTCCCGTTAGGCTGCGCCAGCAAGAAGTGATCCGAGAACTGGCTGAAGCCGATGAAAAGCGCGGGTATCCATGTCAGGACCACTAGCTGCTTCTGGTGTCTCCCGAAGCCCCCCAGAGATGGCAGCACACACCCGTCGATGTGCGGCAGCAGCCGGGGCGCCGGGCGCTCCAGCGGGGTGAAGCCGTTCTCGGGCGGGTGGTCCTGTGCCTCCGGCCGGCTACCCGCCATCACGACCCGGCCACAAAAACACAGCAGCTGTGCGCAAACGAAGTCCCCCGCTCCGCCACCCTTTGCGCACCCTGTGCTAAACCCTTTGACACAAAGGAATCCCAGAGCGCAGACAAATCCTGTGAGTTACGTACAAGAACAAGAGCCCGATAAAAGCAGGGTCCACCGAATCACCGAGCAGAGACCCTCATGTCGAGAGGGACCAGGAGAGGCTGTGTCAGGAGGAGAGGGCTGCGGGGAGGCTTCCGGAGAGGGGCGGACTCAGCCAGGCTTTGTATTCCATGAGTACAGCTCCTACAGCAGGATCCATCCATGTGGGGCTCCACCGTGCCAGGCCTGGGGGGCGGGGGTCTGGGGGGGGGGGGTCGTATGACAGCGTGGTTAAAATATCAGCGTGACCTTCATCTCTGAGCGCCACAGGTCTCACACCTGTCCGAACCGTGCCCTCCTGCAGCTGCGCATCATTCAGGTTCCCAGATATCCAACCGATCCACAGCGAGATCCTTGAAACCCGCCGCTCGGCTTCTCTCCGTGTAAATCAATGGAACGCTGTGCCAGAGCGGGGCTTCGAGCAGATACGGAGGGGGGGGGGGGCAAACCCCGCCCTCCGTCGGTGGCGCTATTCGCAGCGATTGGAGGGGCTTCAAAGAGCGACTGCACCACTGATGGGCATCTGCAGGCAACAATAGAGCCCTTTGTGCCGCCTATGAGTATTAAGCCTATTAGGATCACTCAGTCATTCATGTTTCCCAACGAAGCGGGATGATTTAAAGTACTCACAACCTCTGCTCCAGGTGGTTTTTCTTTCTTGCTTGTATGTACTTTTAGATCGGTTCTCCTGCTGCATCCCACGGATTCAGAAATGCGTCATACGCTCCTTTCATAACCTTCATATAAATAGATTAGTAAGTGGTTTGGGGAGACAATAGAAGGATGGCTGTTTTCTGGATGCTGTACTGCCTCTGAACCACCAGAGGGCGACAGATCATCACACTTAGAATTTTTGCACCAATTTGCCCTACAAAAAAATTTAGAATTAGTGCCCATTTTTACATTAGATTATGAAATATGAAAACGAGATTTGAAGGTTTTAAGAACAGATAAACGTTGTGTTTAGCTGAAACTAAGCTTTAGATTGAAGTGAAACATTTCCCCATTGTCATAAGGTGGGGCTGGACCCAGGTTAGGATGCAAATGATGCTATTTAATGAACAAACAGTAGACAAAAATCCAGGCAGCACAGAAGAGCAGCTGGTAAATAATATCAGCAACTGACATAAGACAAATGTCAGAGGATGGTAGACACGACAATAGACGAGGACCTGACAGGAAGCAAGAGACTCCTGGTGGGTATAGATACACAGAGAAGGTGATCAGGGGAAACGAGGGACAGCTGGGGACAATCAAGGGGAGCCGGGACAACAGGGAGACTCAACTGAAAAACAAATTGGGTCTTTCTATGTATATTAGGTGTTGAATTAGTACAAACTAAAAGTCCAGATTCATTTTTTTCAGCAGTGGAACTGCCATTCAGTCAAGTTTTGAATCAGATACCAACTTCAGCACTTTCGGAGAGGTCACAGTTCAGAAGAATGTCAGAAAATGTGTTTGAGAGAGTGGATCTATTGGAAAACAGCCCAGTCCTCTATGAGCAACTCCAAGCTGATTCCTCTCTGCTGAACGCCTCAAGGTTCAGCAGAGAAGTGACAGCCTGCTCATCTGACTTCTGTCTCCTGTTTTCTCCTCCTGCCTTGGTGGAGAGAAGGAGACTCATAAACTGTGAACACTGTTTGCTGTTGATGTTAAGCTGTGCCAACCACACACATCATAAAGGACATACCAAAATACCTTATGTAACCTCAGGTAATCACATCCAAACCTGCAGATGCAATGAAATGTGGCAAAATTAAAAGGTGTGGAAAAGTTCCAGAGCTGCAGGCTGCCACTTATGGAGACAGGTTCCAGCAAATAGCTCTGTTTCAAATGTACACAAGTGATGGTTGAGCTTAAATATATTTTAAAAAATATTAATATTTTAGATATGCACTGTGAAAAAAAATCAAGAATAGGCAAATCTCTCAAGCATAATATGGAGTGCACAGAATGTTTTCCAATGTATGATTAGTGAGTCACAAAGAGGCGGGGGTCCTCTGTACCAAGCAGCTACTAATCAATCACTTTCACATGAAGGCTGACATTCAGCCATGAGATAAAACAGAACCTACCGTGGAGTCAGTCTGAAACCGGATGAGCAACAGCCAAACTCTAGTGGAGAGGCTGTGGAAGATAGGTTTGTGTCAAAGGTCAAAGACGATAGCACGAGTGAGCACTGCAACAAGACACAAGGTATTTTATGCCATCAACAAGGTCACTCTTCAGATAATTATTTCAAGACAGACTGAAGTTTCAAGATGTTCTTTTAAAACTCTTTTGAAGAAGCACAAACACACAGCGGTGAGGATCAAAGAAATATTGGTTGAACAAGAAAACTTAGTGTTGGAGGGATGAAAACATATCAAGCTAATTCTCGTTGGTCGTTAGGAGAGGTCCAGCAGCTAACAACCAGCAAACACCAGGGGGAGCCAGTGACTCCCAGCAACTATTTGGAGGTATCTGATCACCAGTGGATGAACTGCAAACAAAAGCTCACCGGTCCAACAAGGAGACAAGCTGAAGCGAATCAACTTTTAATGAAAACAAAGAAACTGAGGTTTTAACGCTAAATGTTTGGTGTTGTAAAACAAGCAAATTTGTAACTCTTTAGATTAGGGTCTTTGGAAAACATCAATGTAGCACAAATACAAATCTTTGTTAGATTTGCTGAAATTCATAAAAACAAAGATCTGTTTCTTTAAGACTTTTAGTCAAAGTGATATTGATAGTAGTAGTGAAAGAGTTTCAGTGTTTCAGGAGCATCATCCTGTGACCAGCAACCCAGATAGGGTCAGGTATCAGAGCGCTGTGCTGGCTGGCCACTCCTTCCCATTCACTTCCTGCTCTCTGGCTCTGCCTCTGTACCCCTGGAGGCATATCAATGTCACCAACAGCACAGACAAAACCTTTGTCACAGGATCACACGGTGCAACAACGTGCAGCTTTTCTGTATGGAGTTTTATACTGTTTTGTAATAGACAGACAGATAATGGAGTGCTTATGACTGCAAAATCTTTAAAACTGCATCACATTTCACTTTAAACTAGAATAGGGTGATTCAAACTCCCTCTGACAACAAATGTATGGATTAAAAGCTTGTTATTTTAAATTTCTCCAAAGTCTGTTTTTGTTCATGCTTCGGTGTCTTGTAAAAGCTTCGGCAGTGTCTTTAAAATGAAACCGGGTCGCTCCCTGCATCGACGTGCGTCTGTGAATTTTTTTGGTTTGTGGCTGCTGCTCCACCCAAACCTCCTCCATAGAGTCTCTGTCAGGATATTCGAAGGGTGTGCAAACTTGGCCTTTACATAAACAAATTACAAGATCATTACAAAGCACAAACACAATGGTGATAATATGAACAGTAATGATTGTGAAAAAACTAATCAAAAACAACTTGTAATAAGCCATATGAGTAGTCTCTTTTACGCTTTGGTTTTGGTATCCATTACTTTGTTTTGTGTGGTACAGTCATTTGACTATTTTTAACACTAAATTATTCTCTAAATGAAGCTTCAAATGAAGAATATTCTCAACTTTTTAACTTTTCTCCAACATTTTCCAGAAATTGGAGAATCAGATCCTATCATATCATCATAAGTAAAGCTTGTGAAAAAATCTTACTAATATATGGTATATTAAGTTCACCTATGCTACAGTATCCTCAATAATAATTAAAAAAAAACTACCGTAAATTAAAAAAGTCAAATTAAGACATGAGGAACTAAATTAAGTTGAACTAAATCAAGATAAAACAAATTGACATTAACTTAGCTACAATAACATAAGCCAAGTGAGAAAGAAAGACAAAGAGCCTTAACAAAACAGTAAAAAAAAACAAGTAAATTGGAAATGAACAAAATAACCAACATAAAATAGGGCAATTAATGTTACATTAAACTAACTAGCCTAGCTTAAAAAAAGATAATACGATAAGAACAACTAAAACAGATTAAACTAAGCTAGAATAAATAATACTGTAAGACAAAAATCCAAAATAATCTAAATGAAAATAAAGCAACAGCATAATAAGCTTAATGAAATAATTTTATTGAATTTTAATTAAATTAAGTTAGTTCTGATATGCAGAGTTTAGCAAAAATAAAATAAAGGATTGGCAAAACTAAGGTAAGTGAATAAAAAAATTAACTAAATTACATAATATGAAATAAAGAGAATGAATCTAAACTAGTTTAAGGTTGGGTGTTTCTATATGTAGTTTCCTCTCCAGGTGCTTGTGTGGCTGCATTTCCAGGTATTCAGGCTCCTCCCAGAGTTTTAGATTCCACTACTCCTTTCTCCTAAGCGGAAGATTGTCTCTTTTCTCCAGGCTTCAGATCCCCCCCATCATTTATTTTGCTTGTTGTGTAACACCACCTGTTTCTTCCATTATTTTTAAAACCTTAACGAAAATATATATATATTTTTTAGATGGTATTTTACTTGGTTTTGTAGAGAATGATGTGTCCTTTTGGTAGTTCTAATCAAAGACGCAATTTTTGGTTGTCCAGTTCTTTGTTTTCCTTTTGGAAGTAAGAACAAAAAATGATCAAAGCTTTTTTTGGTCATTATGGCATCCATTGCTTGGACACGCTTCCTCAAGCGGTTTGTACATTGCACGCAAATGTCTCCCAGGCACACATGAGATAACAACCTTCTGTTCTCTGTTCCCTTCACTTTACTGTCACACTTATGTATCTCCGCCCTGCACCACCTGCTTTTGCAGGTGCAGACAGGGATGTTAGCTTGGCATGCTATGTGCCTTCAGGGTGGAGAGACACTGCAGGACCACACCTCAGAAAGACGAACACCGAGGAAGAAACTGCTGTCATTTTATTAGGTGGTTCAGTTCTATTTGAGAGTGCTGAAGTGTGCATGTCTTTCAATTTTAGATTTCTGCTTCTTAGATGCAACTGAAAAGCACTGCACAATATCCTAGGTTTTAGAAACCTATATATAGATGTTCAGGTAGATATCATCAGCTAGCAATGAAATTCATTCATTTTACTAACATTTTTTTTTCTCAGTAATAACTTCTGAGAACAATGTCAAGCAAGCAGACACACCCTAAGTATTAGCATCTATCACCTTCACTCATCTGTGTTTTTAATCCTTTCTTTTAATGTATAAAAAGTTTCCCTTGGCACACATTCGATCACTTTCAAGTGCACACAGATGAGGACATGCATAGCTGCAAACGCAGAAGATCTGACAGGATGAGACAGCGCCATCAGACAGAAAAAAAAAAAAAAAAAAAAATTCAAGAGAAAATTATTAAAAATGCCCCCCCCCCCTTTACAGAATATGCTGCCTGAACATGTTGTGATGTGTCTTGAATCATTGCAGTGTGTGAAAATTAAGAGCTGATTCTGCATATGTGTGACTGGGTGTTGTCCCGGGTGTGGAGGACGAGTTCTTTTAGGAGCTTCCCACAGTTCACCTGTGGGACAATGGATGGAAATAATCACGGAGTGTTTTAGTATTATTAAGGTTGATCGAAATGATTTACACCTCAAAGGGGCTGAGGAGCCGTTTACTCAATTACAAAGTAAATTTGTAATTGACTTTGTTAATTACAAAGTAAATTTACAAGCAAGAAATGAGCAATGTGCTTATTAGCAGCAAGTTTCAGGAGACTGACATCAGCAGACCCCAACTTTTTTGTTGCTCATAATGATGTCAAGCTGAGACATAGATAGATCTGGAAAATTCACACAACCTTGTTGAAATCCAGTTTGTTTTTTGAGGTAAAATAATAAGACAATGATAAATAAT